ACGAGTTTTAGTTAACAAAAGTACAAGAAATACTAGATTTTACAACCAGTAATTTGCAAAAGAACTTCCTGGCCCTTAATGAGAATTTTCCAGAAAATATAATCTTTGCCTGATTGTTTCTACGTATAAAGCATATTCCCTTTACCGGTGACATTTTTCCCAAAAATCCCATCTAAGTATGCAATTTTAGCCCGGTGTTTCAACTGAAACCGAAACCTTTGACCGTGCTAAAACTGTCAAAAGTCAAAGTTAAGAGCCAAACTGAGATTAGCAGCCGGTTTACAGAGGCGGTAAGTGTACAGATTCCCAGAGGGAGCTATCAGGGTCGGTCCTTATAATCCCAGGGTTTCCGTGCAATTAGAGGGTGACCCCTCAACTTTGGCCAGCCTGTGGCATCCTTTCTATTTCTTTTTTTTTTTTTTGTTTGCCTTCCATATTTTCCACTCGTTTTTCGTAGCTCGAAAAGAAAAAAAATGTGCCAACAGAGCTTTTGACGAATGCAACGAGGTCGTTGTTGTTGAGGTGGGTTTTTTTTTTTTTTTTGGGAGGGGGAAGTGAAAATTCAGGGGGCATAATGTTTTGTGTGGGGACTCCTGGCACAGGATAAAACCTGGCCAAGTTAACGATTTTCTTGTTTTTTTGTGTGCTCTGCGAATGAAATTTATGTAGAGGGTCCTGCTCCTGTTTGGGCACAAAAAAAAATTGCCAAAGGACTCGGCCACTCGGCACTCTGCCTCTGATTTTGAGTTGTGCAATAAATTTTTATCTGTACATGGCTGCCAGTCAGCAGGACCTGAACGTGAGTGTGAATCCTGTGGATTGAAGGGTTTCCCGGCCCGTCCCGTTGGCCATTAAACAACGCCGTCACAGTCTGAAAACCAGAGGACCTGAGAACCTGAGGCGGCCATTACACAATAGAATTCTCCTGTCTGTGTCGCTCCAAATTATTTGTATTGCCTTCCTTTCAGTGCTGTCGGTTCTTTTGCCCATTAAAAAGGAGGTTAACTGGAAAAGAAAAGAAAGTCAGGGGAAACCGGTCGATTTGAGGGGCTTACAACATCTTAAAAGCCTATTTCTGTTTTTTAATAATATCATTATATATTTATTTTAAAGCTGAAGATAAAAAACGACCATAAATATCGCTTTTATAATACTTTATAAAATTATGGTGGTTTTGCATTATAAGATCATATTATTTGGATTGAAATTTGGCACGTATTTCAATTTATTATACTATTTATTTATATTTATATATTTTTACAGATATATTCTGTTGATATACCCTTATAAATATTTCCATGGAAATATGTCGGTTCTTTCCTTTTTAAGAGGTTTTCCTTTTAATGTGCCCATGGCAACATTTATATAATTTATCTAATTGATTGACAGATAGATTGATTTTAAACAATAGAAGCCATTAGTGCACATTTTAAAATGCCAACATACCGCAAATGTAACCTTTTTATCCCATCCAGAGTTAATAAAGCCAGCAATTGGCACTTAATTACGGAATAACAGGTATTTCCACTTCAATGGCGGCCAATAGGGGATGCAACAATTGATGGAATAAAGGCCGAAACGACAGCACTACAATTCGATTGTAGTTCGAGGTCCTGTGCCCATGGTCCTTTTGGCTTTATTGTTATTGGCCAAGCTGCGTTGCGGGCCATGTTTTAACGCTGAGTGCTGAATGACATCTGGGTCACCTGGGGCTCCCCGACCTGCATATATAATATATAGCTACCTACATACACCCGTTTAACTTATTCCAAGCCCATTCGGAGCTGAGGTTCCTCCTTTGACCATCGACGAGGACATTCACATTGTTCTCATCTCCTTATTTTATTTTGTCCTTTTGGTTCCATTACTTCTATCCAGTGCATGCTGAATGGAATTTGTGGGGGGGCTGTAAGTAGGTGTATGTACTGTACTGTACAGTGCGTTGCCCGGTTGTAAGGCGATTGATGGCTTAATGCCCCATGTTGCGGTGTCGTAACAAGGGGACTCCCACCTTGGATTACCGTGATTTGTTGTGCTTAGCAATCGAATTTGATTGGCCATTGAACAGGAGAAAAGTAAATTATCAATTTAAGTAGGTGAGCTTATGGTGGCCATGGGTTAAGGGAAGGTTATTGATTGGTATTCTTATAAGGCTGGATTGGTAGTTGTAACTACTTATGTAGTTCCATATTATATAATTATTTACATTATGTTCTAGACTTCGCCGCAATTGAATTACAGTATGTACCTTTACCTTTAATTAAAGGGGAATTATAGGTTATAACTACATATTTTCGAGACCTTAGAATATGTATTTTGTTATATACAAAAATAGTATAATTAATTAGCTGCTATATAATTCAAATTTGGATTACTTAATTGCTTTTAGTGATAGCTTTTGCATTAGTGAATAATGCTTTCTCATTGGCAAAGCATCTCATAAATTTGCTAAAATCAGTGTTTAATTTACAAATATTTATGGGGCGATTATCGTCAGGCAATCCAAATGAATTACACAGCTGAGCCGCACTGTACGTGCCTGTGCTCGATAAAGCAATCATTTTAATGGTGCGATTAAATTTTCATCAGTTCTACTCATCGAACGAAATCGAATTAAGGCTCGGCGCTTCGAAAGACGAGATGTTTATCAAGTATTCCAGATTCATCTATGAATGAATATTTTTCTGCTGACTCATACATATTTGTTTTTTTATTCGCTTCGACCAGAGTGACTGACTGACAAATCAATCAATAAGCAATGGATGATATTTATTTATAGGATAACCCATCAAGAATGGCTCATAAACAATTGAATTCATTTGCGACCCGAAAATGCGATTGCATTTGCCGTCGTCAAGAGAGAAAAAGAATTTTAACCCAATTTGAAGCAAGAACGTTCCGCACGTTCCACACTCCTCGTCCGTCCCTTATATCTTCGGGGGTATTTTAGACCAGTGGCGTGCAAAGGGGGTTGCACTTTAAAATGTACTTAAGATGAAGAAAAAAAACTACACAATGTACTGACAATAATAAGAACCTCCGAATTTTCCTTATCACTTTAATATTTTTAATACCAGACCTAAGAGTATACCAATATTCGAAATAAATAGTATTTTTAAAGTCAAAATTTGGATATTTTTGTTTTTTTTTCTTACATTTACTTCAGTAATAATTGGAAAACTAAGAAAAAGGGATAAGGGATTTTTGCCTTAGGACCATCCTTTCAAGATCTTAGTTACCCTACCCCCTGGATCAACTCCTGCGTGCGCCACTGCCCTCATCCGTATCTGTATCTATGGCATTCTGCCTGGCACGGACTCCTCTGATATGGTCTTTGGTCTTTGGTCTATGGGCTATGGGGCCCCCAACTATTATTAGCGGCACGCTCGACATGCAAACGTATAATGGATTCATATATATTATGTGTGTATGGTATGGTATGTGTGCCTGCACATGTGGGCCATACAATGTCGGTGATATATATGGATATATATGGCCATGCCAGCCAGTCATCCAGCAGAATTCATTACTCTGCAGGTGTTCAAATTTTCACATTTTTCGTTCAGGTCCCCGAAAATGTCCTTTTGTCCTGGTACAACGTTTGCCGTTGCCCCAAAAGAACACTGTGAGAAAATTTAGACTGGACTTGAAAATTTCCAAAAAGTATATTCGATTTTAAAGTTGAGTTGACATTTTTAACAAACAAATATTTAAAGAGAAATTATTTTTGTCCAATTTAATTTAATTTTTTATATAGTTAGTTTGTTAGAAAACTATTAAAAGTTTGAGGCACTGTTGATTACAAACATTAAAATAAACTTTTTTTTTGATGCCCCTATTATAAATTGTATATTTTTTTTAGTTTTCAATTTTTTTAGATGTATTTCTCGCTTTTACCAACCTCATTTACAATTCTTGTTCGTATTTATAGCTGAATTATTGATTTTCATTTGTAACATTTTCGAGATTTGTTTCAAATTTTTTGTTCGTTCTTTTTTTTTGAGGTTGTCCTTTCCGTTTCTCTTTTTTTTCATATGGGTGACTTGCGGTCAACGAGCTTTCCCGCATTTCCCGCTTTTTCCTGCCACATGTGTGTGCGATGGCTTTGAAGCTTTTGTGGCTTATCAGTTCTTTGGCCAACGAGGTCCAACTTCTGGCAAATAGTTTTCCCGGAAAGCTTGGCCACAGCTTTCGAACCGGTCTTTCATTTCATTTTCCATTTTCTTTATGGGCTCCTAAGCCGCTCCTTTGTCTTTTTCTTGGACTCACTTCACTTGTTTCTGACTTTATGACTTGTGATTTCTTTTACCTTCAGTTTCTTTTAGTTAAGTTGATTATTCAATTTCCATAAGGATTTTCTTTTTGTTTAATGCTCGTTTTCCTTAAACTATGAATTAAGTTAAGATGGCAGTGGTTCTATTAACACTTAATTATTTAATACAAGAGTGAAATAAATAATAAACGAAATCGAATGCAGACTATTAAATTTTTGATGAGAGTCTTGTTCAGTTTCTGCCATTCAATCAAAATCTTTTGTTTATATTAATGTTATGGTCCGTAAAATAGTTATTCAAATTATGGTGTTATAACAACATTTACAAGAAAAACTTAACACAATTTCAATTTACAAAATAGTTGATATTATTTTTGAAGTAATTCCCCATATTCATACTTTTATTTTTAACACAAAAACGAAAAATTAACCAATGAAATCGAATGTAGACTTTTGTTTATTTTCTACCAACCAGTTAAAAACGTTTGCTTATATTTGGGCTATTTTACTTATGGTTATGGTGGAATAACAACGTTTTCAAGAAAAAGTTAGCATAGCGTTATGTATATATATTATTTTTTAATAAGCCAAAAATTTTGATATTTTTTTCACGTTGCTAAATTTGACAATAAAAATATACAAAAATGTAGAATTAAAAGTTTTTTATCAAGCACAACACAGATTTAATTTTTAATGATTTTAATATTTGATTTTTCCTGTATTACAGATGTCAATTCAGAAGCTAAACGACACCAGCAATTCGGGCTACGTGAGTTCCGAGGAGACGGACTCGCTGCTGGTGAGCAACTCGAATCCCTCCAAGGGCGGCGGTCGGACGGCCCTGCTCCGCCAGGTGAAGAGTAGCTCCACGAATGGCCCAACGACGGGGGCGTCCACCTCCTCATCCGGATCGGTGACGGGTTCCGGTTCCGGTGGTGGATCGGCAACGGGATCGAATTCCGCAGCTGGTGCTGGGGCTTCCAAGCCGCAATTGATGCGGCAGGATCGCACTTCCACATATCTGACGAGTCCACAGCAGTCGCAGCATGTGAGGATGGGCTCGGAGGAGAGTATGCGAGGTGGCAGTGGTGCCGCCGGTCATGATGAGGATGTGGAACAGGGCCTGGTCCGTAGTAGCATAGTGCCTGACATTGAAGTACACGAAGAGGACCAAGAACATGGATCGGGAAAGGGATCCGGAAAGATGACCACGACGACCAATAACCAACAGCAACAACCGACCATATCAATTATGAATTTAAGCCTAAAGCCCGGCGATAGTCATAGCCATAGCTCCAGTCCGGGCAGTCATCCCAATTTGGGTACCTCATCATATCAGAATCTTGCATCGAGCATACCGCCCAGTGTGCCCAGTCGCTGTAGGGCGTGCCGCAATTGCAGCCGACGTGCTTCCACCACGCCCACCACGCTGATCGATCGCTCCGCCTCCCGCGACAGTGTGAAAAGTGCCTTCCAGCAGGGCAATCTCAGTGGCTCGATGGCCATTTGCATATCCAATTCGGCCCTGCCGCAACAGCAACAGCAGCAGCAGCAATATCATCTGCAACAGCAGCAACACTATCAATTGCAGCAGCAACATCTGCAACATTTGCAACAGCAGCAGCAACAGCAGGTGCCACCCGTTTTGATCACATCATCGCCAACGAATGGATCACGGATAATACGGCAAAGTTCACAGCCGGAATCGAGCAGTACGGCAATTTGCTGCGGACCGCATTCCGCCTGCGTTGGCCACGCCCACTCGCATTCGCATACGGTTCCAAACGTCTCGCTGAAGCAACTGCGCGAAAGTTCCGGCGATGGAATCGCCGGCATTGCAGCGGACTCCCTGCGGATTAATGGGGGAATGCGGCCCTTCAAGCAGGTGAGAATCCAACGGTTAATAAAAAATGAAAAACGCCCTTCGCCAGAACACCCGACCTCCCTTTTTCGTTTTTAAGGATGAGGCAAACTTAGTTACCCGCACTCGAAAAAAATATCAGGGAAAATTCGCCTTTAAATTTTAGTATCATCAATTGATTTCATATATACATTGCTTTTAAGTACAATGTTAAATATATATTTAAATATATTGTTGCAACTTGGTTGGAAAAAAAAGAAATTTTAAGGTGACCAGCACTGTGAAGTAAACAAGATTACATAATTTATTATAAATATAACTCTTCTAAGAACATTTAAAAATATATATCAAAATACAGCGTTGCCATTTTGTTTGGAACAATTGTGAAATTTTAAGGTGACCAGCCTTGTAATATAAACATGGTTATATCATTGAAGAGCTCAAGACGCTGGTTACTTTAAAATGTGGTCTAATAGGATATGTTTATTCCATTTATTTAAAGTTACTAAAACAAAGCTTAATTCCTTTACAACATATCAAAAGCGATTTTCTAATCTCAATGACGCTTTTTTTTCGAGTGCCCACAATGCCATGACTCCCTTGTACATAATTCATGTATGTACATAAGCCATCTGCAATCAGCTCATAAATGCCCGAGTGGCCCAAGAGTACCCTTAGCGCTCGGTGTATACACAGACCTCTATGTATCCTATATAGTATATTAACTACGCATATCCCTTCTCTATACATAAGTTTATAGCCGTAAATTGGATGTTATGTAGCCACTATCGCACTCGATGTTTTCTGTGTTCATAAAGACAATTCTCAGATCCTTCCTTGTGTAGATTGTATAGTTGGGTTGAGGGATATTCAAGTTCAGTGGAAAAAAGTAGAAGTCAATATAATGAGTTCAATTACGAGTACATGTGGTATTTATTAACTTAAAGTATTTTGAAAAGTTTTAATGTTAAAAAATTATTATAAATTTAAAGTGGCCAGTCTTGCAGGAAGCGATAAAAGAGTGACCATAGTAATTAAAGAATTACAAAAGAAAGCATTTGTGAAAAATATGTTATGTGGGCTCTTGATTGTCTGCAGTAGACTATTATTAATGATATTTTTAGGCCTAGTCAAATCGCCCACATTTTTTATGTCCCACTTATAGAATCTATCAATAGTTTACCGTACTCCAATGCTATTTCCTAGATGTATCTATCACCGTCACAAACACTGCCAATAACTCATCTCCATAAACACAAGAAAATCCCCTCCCAAGATGTTTTTTTATGCTCAGTTCGTATTTCTTTATTTATGCCATAGATGTTTTCTAATAATCATAAAACGCTGGCCATTTGTGATTTGCTTACTTTGTTGCTGTTGTTCTTTCGGTTTGCTTTCACTGACTTTATTCCTTCTCCCTCTTTAGGCCATTTAACGTATTTCGCGCGCCAAAATCCAATTAGTGAAAATCAATATTGCTCATACGCGGCGTTGGTTCAACAATTATTTTGTTCATTTGCCCGCTTGGCCACCCCCCCCCCAAAATATATACCTACCTATATATTTCTTTTAATTTTTCTTTATTTCTTCTCAGCTTTGTTTTTGCATTACTTTCGGTGGGCATAACTAAAAATTTTGTTTACATGCCATTTGATCGGTGGGGAAATACAGAATGGAAATGGAAAATGGAAATGGGGTCTTAGTAGGTGGGCCCAAGAGCATTTAGCATTTAGAATTTTACCATTTAATGGTGGATATCCAGCAAACGCAATTAAGACATTTCTTTCCTGCAGCTGGCAAATTGATTATTCATGAGGCAATTGAATTGTTAAGTGCTAGGGAAAATACCATTTCTAGTTCGCTCTATCTATATCTTTCATCTCTCCTTTATAATTAATATCAATTTACGCCCAACGTGTCTGAACTTTTGCCGTCCATAAATATCTAAAAAAAAAACAACAAGAAACGAGAAGTAAATATATATAGATGGGGAAAAAATGATATCGCTTCTTCCTTCATGCTGGCAGTGACCTTACCATGATTGATGAATGTTTTCACTCTTTGACATTTGCCGTCGCGTTTTCCTATTTTTCTCTTCCGATGACCCCGGTTACCGCCCCCTATTTTGTGTTTTTTTTTCCACCAGTCTTTATAGATAATTGCGTTGGGTTCTCTGGCAGACACTTTCGGCAATAGTCAGGGGGATAAGAAGTAGTCTTTAAAAAAGGGAGAGACTTGGGGGGCGGTAACAGTAAAACATTTATGGAAGCTTCAGAGCTTTTCGTTTTCAAAAAACTAGCGGTAAGGATAGCGAAAGTAAATGGTATAAATGAGCGGGGGGAATCCCCCACATTTAACGGCTCTCCACGCAAATGGGCCAAAAGCTTTCAAGCCACATTTAACACGAATAAAAAAGACAACAAACAATTTGTATATGCAATTCCCCTGCGGTCACCTTTTTTACACTTAACCCCCTCGCTTTCGTTTCGCGAGCTTTCCGCTAAGCTTTTCCCGCATGGGGTTAAGTGTAAAGCGAAAGCTTCAACGTATTTCAAGTTTTCAATTGTCTTCGGTTTTCCGCTTTTCCATTTTCCGCTGCTGTTGACCCCTCCATTGTTGTTTTTATTGTTTAAAAGCTTTCTATTTAATTATGCAACATGCAACGAACTATTCATCCATTCCACACACACACTATTTATATAAAAAAAAACCTCGCAGTCCCTCAGGATCACACACGTGCCGTCATTACTTATCAGGCATATCCCTACTTTTCTACTTTGAAAACCCCTTTGGCGCATAAATACTACTAGTATCTCATAATAGACTTTTGGCTGTCCCTTAGGTTCAGATATATATCTTCCTAATACTTTTTTCACATATCTAATACTTCATTACTAACTCTACCGTATATATCATATCTTTGTAATCAAATATAGCCCTTAGTTATAATACTAATATCTATAATATCTATGTATGTAGTTTCGACAGTATTCTTAAATAACCAAACTCTTGTATACTTTTATCTAAATTTATGGACAGTGCGTTTTGTAAGAGCAAAGTGGGTTAATCGATTTGGTTTTATTTTTTAAAGTTTTAAAACATTTTAAGAATACTTAAATAAATATTTTCGTTTAATAACATACTAACTATTTACATTTTATTTTCTATGGCTTTTTTCATTGAATCTATATATTAGTTCAATGATAATAATCTTATGTTGTATTTTAAAGATTCAAATAGTATCAAAACAAACTAATACAAATCGGCTAAACCACCTGTTACTTTCGCAACGCACTGTACTCGCAGGACTATATCTATGTCTAATTTCTAGGTATTTCAATCGCTTCCATCCGTTCAGATCCAGAATCCTATGTCTAAGTCCCCGCCCAAAAACCCAGAAACTCCCAATTGGTAATCCCCAGCCGAAAGTAGCTTAGCTTACCTAACTAACTAAGTTAACTTAAACCATCTGTACTAATCGCTGTCGCATCAACTCTCGCAATCTCTTCAGGGCGTTCTTCTAATGCCTCGCACCTTGTCCGAAAGCCGAAAGTTGCGCCTTCGAAGAGCCTTCACCGAGGCCACTAACGAAACGCTCCAATGCTCCAAAATGGTATTTAAGAAAAACAAACAACAAAAATAATGCAAAACTACAAAACAAAACCCATTTGCCAAAACTAACAATTTTGTGTTATGTGTACATAAATATTTAGAATGAACCAAAGTAGTTCCAAACTTCCAAAAAAACCAACCAAAAAACAAAAAAACCCAAATTAATACCAAAAGTTCATTTTCAATGGCACCGCAATGACCTTTCCGCCTCCCAGCGGTCAAGTAGCTTGTTATCGATAACATTATGCATTATGCTGCAAAATGCTAAATGCCTCTGTGCAATCGGTTTGCGTTTGGCATTATTTTCTTCCTAGTGTGCACTGCGTCAATGTCCAATATTCAATCTCCCCATAGAAATCTCACTGAAATAAAAAAAAAAAACCAAAAAAAATGAAACTCAAAAATACCTGTTTTAAAACCGTTTTGAGCATTTTGGCCGCTTGTAGCTCAAGTTTAAGTTTCCGCATCCCATAATCTCGCATCCACTTCCAAGTCCGCTTCAGCAACCCGTATGCTTTTGCATCCGTTCTTGAATGTAGATCCGTAGTTAATGTATCACCCCTAATTAGATAACGTATATGATTTAACCGATGATTTATCGCCGCAGGTAAGATGTTGTTGGAAATTTGTAGATTTCTTTTGCACTGATTGTCGTTATTTGTGATGAAAACAAATTGCACCGATTAGTTTTGATAATATTATAATCTTATAGGGGGAATTATCTACGGGGAAAAAGTGTAATTTCGAAAAAATGGTTTTCGAAGCCAAACTGTTTAAACCATTCAATACATTAGTTTTAAAATATGTGATATTTGTATATTTACTATATTCTCAAATTAAATATTTTTTTAATATATAGACTGTTAGGAATTCTGGTATAAACGAAATATCCAAGGTATTGGTTAGGTTTAGCATTGGCCTTTTTTCGGGGGCCCGCAATTAAGTGCTGAGCGGAAGCGTTTAACATTTCCCTCAGTAAAAGCTGCAACATTTTTATTTCCATGACGTCGACGCGATCAGGTGTTCCCCGTTTGCGTTCTTTCCCGTACACCCTCTCTCCGGTTTTTCACCAACGGATATTTCTCTCATCGCTCTCGAAAATAGTTTCTCTCATCTGGGCCATCCACCTGCTGCTTTTTGTCCACTTGGATCCCACCTTCCAATTGCGACCCGCAATCCACACGATCCAAGCATGCTGATGGAAGAAGTTGTTCTTTGTAAAGAGGTATTACCAGTGAACATGGGTATATTGTCGGTCTAAAATTTGAGGATTACGATTTTGGTTTTTGGGTTCGGGTTTGAAGCTTCGAAATACACTCAGTTTTCAGATTTCACATCTTTCTTGATCCATTTTGAATTTTATATGATCTTAATGGATCAATATCAGCCAAATGATTTATCGGCTTCTCATCTATCTTATCTATTTATTAAATAATTAGCTTTTTTGAATACTGGGCATCGAAAAGTCGGTACTTAGGATCGGGGACATAATCGTTCTCCTTGGTTCCGTTGTATTAGCGGAACAAAAAAGAAGAACAAAAAGGCAGGAGCGCACCAGATTGGAATATAAATAAAACTTTTGGTGGCCAGACCATTTGTGCGGCACCGTCGGAAGGGATCGCTCTCGATCTCGATCTCAATTTGGATCTTGGGAACTCTCGTTGTCTGTCGCTCATTTTCCAGATCGGTTGCGGATCGGATCCGATCGGATCGGTCAATAATGGACGTGAACGGCTTGTGGAAATGCTGAATTGTGTTTGCTGCTTCCCGGATTCTGTTTACATTCTGGACAATTACGCAGTCTAAAGTCGAAATACTGTTGGTCCGAAATAGTCCCAATTCAGATTAAAATTAAATCAAAACCCATCGGTTTTTCATCGGTTGCGGTTCATGGATTTGATTTTTCCGCGAAGAAAATCCTTTTTTTTTTTTGCTGTGCGTGTTTTTGTTTCATGTTGGTTGACAATGCGCCAGTTGCTTGGCCTGCGAAATTGTGAAATATAATGAATTCCAGGAAGAAAGTGTATAAATCATTGTTTAAACATTGCGGTCTTAGCCTGTAACCGGCAAAATCTGAGAATTGCCAATTAAAATAAACAATGTACTTGTTTTCTCGAAATATCTTTGAATAGTAATTAAGGCAACATGTTTGTATGTACTGGTAATTTACTGAAAACATAAATATTTGCCTTCCATTAAGAAAACAAAAACAGTGAGCTGGACAAAGGAAACGGTTCTTGAAAATGTTCCATTCTTGGAAAATTTTTGATCTTCAGTAAAGATTTAAACTTTGGATGCTTAAATGAAATTTTTTCAACCGCGGAACGAATCTCTTATAAAATATGAAATAAAATACAATATTAAGTGAAAAAACTTTGATCCTATTATAACAAAAGGATATTATTATAAGAAAAGAGATCTTAAAGGAAAAACGTTATATTGTGAAGTCCCAAAAGAACTTTTTGGATCTTGGAGGAGAGCAGAGCATGTCGCCGGCCTTCTGCATGGATAACGATTGTAATCAGGGCGCTCTCAATAGGAAATGCCATGCCACGCCCCCTCCGCCCACGCCGGTGGTCGTGTCAACGTCATCGACCCCATCGGCCTCCCCCTCCCCAACTATCACGCCCTTCCCCTCGCCCACCCCCTCGCGTTCGCCATCGCTGACGCTGATGATGATGACGTCGCCTCAGCCCCAGATGCCCCAGATGCCGCAGATACCGCAAACGCAAACGCAGACGCAAATGTCGCAGCGGCTAACGCCGATGACGCGAACGGGCAGTGTCGGTGGCACCACGAGTGCCGCCCGCAGGAACTCCCTTTGGCTGGAAACGCTGCGCAACACACGCAAGCTGTCCTACGCCAACGAGCGGCCCATTCTGGTAAGACTACTTACACTCAACAAAAAATTTGGTCTTGTTTCCCAGCATAATCAGCGAAAATAGCTTGCTTCTTGGGCAAACCTTTGATTGTTGTAAGCGAATAGTAATTCAATTGGAAATCACAGCTTCAGACCTTTTACGGATAACTTAAAAACATAGAGCTTAAAAACATCGATTTAACTATCGATATTTTCGATTGTTTTCGAACATCTATGTTTCCTGACGTTCTATTCGAGGGTAAGGACTAACAAGTAAATTAAAAAATCATAAAAATGGTAATTGTATTTTACTTTACTTTCCTGAAAAACTTAGATACTACAACTACTATTTTTTTGAAAAACAATCGAAAATATCGTGAGTTGCAAAATCGATGTGCTTTAAATATCCAACAAATCCCCTTGCTGTCAGAGTATAAATAAATATTTTTATATAATTAAAATTTCTATGGAAACTTTATAGAATGAAAAAAAGGCCTTAAGAAACAGCTCTCAATTTTTATGTTTATCATTAATGGTAACAAGAAAAATATTTAAATTAATCTAACTTTATTTTTAAATTTTAAATTTAAGACATTTTTTCTGTTTTAATTTAAATACCAACAGATTTCAATGATCGTTAAAGTAAAATATACATTCGCGCCTGATACAAAAATTGGAAAGCCTTGAAAACACTTATTGACGTGTCAAAAAGTATGCTACAAAATATTTCCAACTGTACAACGAGTCGTATACGTTATTATTGGCTTCAAGGTTTCAAGGAGGAACACGCATACGACATGTTGATCAAGAGATATGAGAAAATTTTGTTGTAAAATGTATATGCATTTTGTAGCAAGTTTTTTATGCTCGAACTATACAATTGATTTAAAAATATTTCCTCAGTGCTGACAAAAAACTATGACGTATCTAGCTTATCTGCTGGCCATTTGTATGCCCATTTCCATTCGCCATTTCGTCGGCGGCTTCCACGTGTCCACGTTGCCACAGAGTCCAAAACTATAAAAATAAATAAATCGCCCGCGTTTCTTCTCTCTGTCTCTGTCTCTGTCTCCTTCTCTGTCTCCCATCTCTTTCTACTGTCTCTGTACGATTCGAAGTTATTTTCAACCAAAGCATCTGCAAAACAAAACAAAAACAATTTGCAGACACACGATGGAGCTCTTGGGGAAAAGGTTTGGGCAACGAAACTTTTTTACCCTGTAGAAAGTGGCGAAAGTTTTACCAAATTTTCGACGAACTGCTAAATCTCAGTGGTTGTACAAAAAGCAGAAGAAAACAAATTTTGCAGAGTAAATACTGCCACTGGGAATTTATATGGGTTTTATACAGATTGCAGTTTTCAAATAAAAAGTACAGGCTACGTTTTTAGCAAACTAAAACTTTAAGGTGTCTTTCCATCTCAGGGTAATGGGCTGATATTAATAGAAATACAGAATGAGGAACGTGGGACATAATAATCAGTAATAATTGCTGTAACAAAAATAATTTTGAAATACGAGCAAAAAATACACAAGTGATACAATTTAAGTTATAGTTCCTTAAATTGATGAATTCTACAGTAACGACTTTTTAATTGTTTATTTTTCTGCATACCCAGTATACAACACTCTAAATATAAGACAGATATATTCCAGATATACTAGGTAACGCCATAAAGAGTGACCAATTGAAAACACCCTTATGGGAAAGATAATGGCAGGATATTAATTTGAGGAGTGGGGGCTATGAAAGCAATAACACAAAACAAATGTGGGAAAAAGGCACATCAACAAAAGAGGCAGACAAGGGGGCGGGTCTGAAGAGGGGTGGCCATCCTATTTGGCTATTCCATCATCAGTATTCGAAACACAAGAAAAACGCCCATAAAGACATAAAGTTTGCTCAAGTGTTCGGATCGTATCGCCCGTCGACTCGAGCATCTGTATATATCGCTTTGATATATTGTTTACAAGGCAGGCGATTTCGAATCCGATTCGGATTTGGATAACGATCGCATCATCATCTTCGTCGTCGTCATCTCTATATTGTGAGAATTGCAATAAAGTAGATTCAGGGTCAAAATTTTCGGGTTAAAGATAGTCCATAAATAAGGCTACCGCTTTATTTTCTTGGTTACATAT